TTAGGAAAAAAACTTCAGTGAGCACATCTTCTCATCAACTGCACTTCATTGGTACTTGAGTTGCTTCTAAAGCGAGCCTAAGTTAATTAAGTTTGGAATTCATTGAACCTTTTAAAAATAAAAATTTGATGAAGGCCTTCTTATTTATTTTTAAATTACGTATATGGTTGACCCTTTCTATTCAAAAACTTATTATCATTAACAAAATTCCATTTTAAGCAACAAAATTTTTAAGATAATTTGTATAGATGTTGTTGCAAAATATATTGTTTAACATAAATAATGTTATGTTGTAATATGCTAGTACAAGTTACATTTTGCAGCAAAATATATACGAAACGGTTGATAATGCTTTTTGCAACACTACTATTTGCAACGCCTTTCAATAATTTCTATAACATTGTTTTGCAACATAAAAATCTTACGCTGCATTAATAAGTGTTGTAAATTATTTTTTGTAACAAAAGTATGAATAAAAATTATTACAAATGCTTTTAGTAACAACACTATTTGTAACATAGTATAAAAGTTTTTATTGCTAAATGCAACTATTAAAGTTAATTACTTAACAAAGATTGTCTCTCATGGAAATATACCATTACCATTAAATTTAATTAAATTAAATATTAATGCTCTGGGAAGGGAAAGATTTATGTGCAGTGACAGATCCGCCTTTGATTGGATGGATGTTCATGATTAAAAAATACTAAAATTTAAAGGAAAATTTTTTACTTTACATCCCAAAATTTTCTCTGGACACCACTAAAGATGGGAAAACTTTTGACAAAAAATCTATCAATAATTTTTATATATATTATAACTGGACATTTCTGAAAGAAATTTTGGATCCACCATTGTTTATATGACCTAATTAAGTCACAATGACAATGTGCAAACCTTAAAACACACAAATTAACTTAAACAAGCAAAGTATTTGACCCTATGGTAACGAGAAAATGACATATATGCTTTGTCTTTACTTAATTACACCTTCATTTTCTCGATATAATACTTTGATCAAAACTATAATTAGAAGTTCTTGCAATATTTTTATGAAGCTGATAATTAGAGATTTCCGTGGGAGATCATCTCCAGCAAATCCAGCTCTTTTTTCTTGGAATCCACTTCCTGGGGAATCTCGAAACCCATGGCATTGCTCTCTTCAACAACAGAGCCACAGGGAACTTCTTCAGAAAAAACATTTGCGTCGAAAGATAAATTCATTAGCTGATGATCAGCTACTTGATCATTATAAGCTACAACTTGCCAAACTGTTGGGATGAAATCTGAGGTTTCAAGTTGAAATAGGTGTGGGTTTGTTTGCAGTTCAGGATTGGTAATTTCCAACACCCTTTTCCCTTTGTCTTGTCGGGTTGAGGTCGTTGAGCTGACTGACTTGATGTAGTTTTGTAAAAGAGAGCCATTGGTGTTGGAGTCTTTGCCTTTGCGCCTTGAGTATTGCCTTCGCTTGGTCGCATTCCAATGATTCTTTATAGTGTTTTCGGTCCGTCCTGGGAGTCTCCTGGCTTTTTAGGAAAGGGAAATCCTCTCTAAAGCTTGTTTCAAACTCCATGCAGCAAAAGAAAAGAGAAAAGGAAAGTTCAAGAAATGGAAAGGGTGGTTTAATGTTCCTTTGCAAAATGGGTTATCGCTAGTAATGGTTTCTAAAGGGTTAAAATTAAATTTTATGGCTTTTTTTATAAGATTTATATTTGATTCATTATACTATACATGATCAATGTATACAATACATTAAATATAATTTTTTATATATATAATTATATAAAAAGTGAAATGAGAATATTTAGGCCATTGATGTAATGGGAAGCCAACTAGCCAAGGATTGATATTGAAAGTTGATTGTGACTGTAAAGATTCCAAGTTTTAGTGTTGCAAAGGGAAAAATGGACCCAAATTAATCATCAGTAATTCGTTATGAAGAATTGTATTTTTCGGAAAATTCTTGGACCAACTGAAACTTTCTTTTGTTTTCTTCAATTTTCTTGTCAAATTTAGAGCATCAAAAGCAAGATATTATTACTAATTTTAGGACCAATCAAATGATTTATGAAAGAGGATTTACTTAAAGGAGGGTCAGTCTTTGATTTTTTTTTTTTCTGGGGTTAATGAAATGAAGAGAGTTTGGCTATTTTAAGGGTTTGATTATTTTGCATGTAGTTTGTTATTTTTAAATAATAAAAAAATTGAAGATATTAAAATTTGAATTTTAAATTTATGGAATGTCGCTTCTTAAATAATATTACATAAACCAATTGAAATCATAATATTTTTGTTAAATTACATTGTTATTTATAAATAAATTTGCATGAATTTGTTTATAATATAAAAGTAGGTAAATAAAAAAAAAGTGTTTTATTTTTGTGTTAAAAGAGAATAGAACTATAACACGAAAAGAATCTCTTATATTTCTGCCAAATGACTCTTAAAACTCAAGTTTTTGAAACAATAAATTTTGTCCTTTATAAGGGAAATGCGAAATAATTAACTGGGGAGGGTTGGTTTTGAAGACCATGACAAATGAAATTTTGCAATGTGTCGAGGGTTAACACTAAAGCACTTTGCCTTTGTAATTCAACATTTAATGCTTTTCCATTTTGAACCTAATAAATGAAAAATAAAGTTCTATTTAATTTGTGCAGACAACAAAGAAAAAAGAAAGAAATTTACAGTATAGACAGAATTAGAAAAAGTTTTATTCACTTCAATGCTTAATTTAAATATTCTTTTCCTACAAATTATTGAGAAAAATAGCATCCACACGCAGCAACCACACATATAATAGAAAGCTCAAATCAATAATAAAAACACACAAATATATTTAGTTCGACCTAATTCAAAATGATCTACTCTAAACACAATCCACTAACAAATAAATTTTTACAACTGTGAGAGTTTTAGAATGAAAAAAATCTCATAAAACTCCTTACTCAAAATTTAACCAAAAACCCAATTACACACTTTAATAGCCTACTCACTTAGCTATTCTCTTGATGTCTAACTCTTTGAGATTATCAAATTAAAACCAAAATATCATATTTATAAATATGAAACCCCTTATACATTTACTAAACTCCCGATGTGAGATACAAGATAAACTCAAATTCACTTAACTTTCGATGTGAGATTCTGAGATTTAAAATAAATCCCAACACAAATAACCCACTTTTAATAATGATATATTGATCAGATTCTATGACTTGTTTAAAGTCAGCCATAGCAAGAAGAAAATTAGACATCAAGTTCGTGTAAAACATCTTTCAAAAATAAGTGTTCTATCAAAAATAAACTTTAATTCAATGTCTCATTGATCAAGAACTTTAGTAGTGTGAGAGTCACTAAGCATAACTTCTTTTGCTTCATTAAAATTAAAATAAGTTTTGAATCAAGACTTATCCTTGCAAATGTGCCTAGCAGCATCAGAATTTGTCCACCTCCCATCAAATCTATTAACCATGTTAATTTTAGTTATCATTGCCACAAGTGGCTTCTCGATTGCTTGAGGTTGCCCACGCTTTCGAAATTTAGAAACTCTTGCTGTGTGACCATCTTTTCCACACACAAAATAGAAGTCGATTTGAACATGAGTTGATAGGCTTGAGCGAGTTATAACAACATTATATTAATCTTTTTCTCACTTCATTATTTTTTCTTTGTGTGCCTTTCTTTCCGCATCATTCGTACCATCAATAGAAATCTTTTTTATTTATCAAAAAATACATATGCTATATTTAATAAATTTAAATAATATAAAACTTTTTTTTTTCATCATTTAAAATGCTTTCCACTAAAACGGAAAGGCATATTCAACTCGTTGGTAAGTTTTAAAAATTTTTCTTGAGTTGATGCCATTATTTAAAATAAAAAAAAGCAATGAATCATCTTAAAATTATTGTTTCTAAAAACTAAAGTTAATGGAAAAAATATTAGTAACTAAATATAATGAGTGAAAGGAAAATAGATTTTTAATAATTTTTGGTATTAATAATTTTTTAAAAAATTATTAAATAAATTTATTATTTTTTCTAGTCAATATAAATTTATAATATAAAACCTTTTTAGAATAAATGAATAAAAAACTGATTTTTAAAAATTTAAAATAGCTAGCTTCTTGGGATAATGTTAACTATATTTTTTGTGAAGATAAATTAGTTAAAAACTAGTATTGAAACTTGCTTTCTTATGATAATAAATTTTTTTCATTTTTTAAGTTGAGAATTAGATTACCCCAAAATGATGATCTTATCACTAGTAATTTAAGATTATCGACACAATTTTTAAATTATTACCAAATAGAGTAATATAATTACTAAATACAAATTATCATAATTTTTAAATAAATCATCTCATACCTAATATTCTCTTGATAAAAGATGATCTATTAAAGAATTCTTTTATACAAAAGATGATCGATTAATGAATTTTAATTTTAATTCAATTTATTTATATAATAAATTTTTAAAAAAATTATATTATAATTTTAAATTTTAACATTTACAATCTTTTTTTTCCTTTTTTTAACGACAAATACCCTTTTACTTCAAATAGGCATAATATGAAAAAGAAAAATTAAGAAATCATAAAATATATAAAATAAGTCATATACTTTTTTTTTCTTTGGTCAGAGGAAAAGTCATATACGTCTAAAACAAATTGTACATAGGATCCAATTGGTCATGGTTGTGAAGATTTTGAGTTACCCAGGAAAGCTACAAGCATAGCTTTCCAGCTCATATGATATTTTCTTCACCTGTGGCTGTCATTGAAAATGAAAAAAGAAAGCAGAAAAAATCCTATTTCTCTACTGGTAAAATTCGTGACAATTCACATTAAAGTATTACCTACTGATGAAATTAAATTCATTCACAAATTCCATTCGGTTAGTAAAAATTTTTAATTTTAACAATTTCGTCGATAATTACCAATGAAAAAATTCAGAAAAATTTCATCGATATTAACTGTAATTTTGGTAGTGTCACCCTTCTCTTTCATCATCCAAACTGTGTAACACTGGAGTAAAATGGAAAGACACCCAAAATATATTTGGTGAAAACAGTATCCAACAAATTTTCCGTCAAATTTTGAACACTTCATTTCCCTTTGAATTTGATGTTAACATGAGTTGGAAAGAATGTTAATGTTCAGACGAGTACCCATACTTACATGAAATCATTGATTCCTTGCCGTTATACATTTAACCAAGTCTAGTATACGACAATAATCGAAGAAGAGGGAAGAATCTTTACCTTCAAGTCCATCTCGATGATGTCTGTTGCTACCGGTAAGGTTGTTACATGGACTCCCACCAACAACAAGGTCGAATCCACCAAATCTATTCATCAATTGCTCCAACCGATCACCGTTCAGTTCTTGCACATCTGGTATGTCAATCAAATTTCCCCTCTGATTCGTTTGCTCCCACCAACTCCTAACAATGTTTCTGTTCACTTCCGATTTCTCCACTGCTACGACATTCTTCAAAGGGATGCCAAGTCGGTGGAGGGCAACCTCTGCACCACCAATACCGGAGAAAAGAGACAGGAGATTGATACCATCGGGGAACATGTCTTTTAAGACTGATAGATGGTAAGCCACTGTGTCGACCTGAAATAAGTTATTCTATAATCATAACACCACGAGCATGGATTCATGTATCTTGAGACCAAAAAATTACCCCAAAAAGAAACAATCTTGTAGAGGAAATGACATTCATGTATTGTAACCAGTACGACATAGGAAATTGGCAATAAATATGAAAAAACAAGGTAAGAATCACACCTGGAATGAGTTACCAAGTGATTTATATCTATCGGTCCGACTAATTCCTCCTCCCCTAGTGTGGTTTCTAGGAAAACCGAAAAGCATTTCCACCTCATCAGGTTCAAGTGGAGCAACCTTATTCCTTCCCACCCAGACTAGATTCCACTTTCTGCACTCATCAAGAACGAACTTTTGGACACTCAAAGGTGGCTCATCATCATAACGTTCAAGAGCCTTGCGGATCCTTTCTGTCAACCTTGCGCTCCCTATGCATGTTTGTAAGCAGTTCAACTTTGTTCTTGTATCCCAGGAAGGCCACCATTTCCTGGTCAATGGAAAAGCTTCATGTATGGTGCGTGGTGGAAATGGAAGAAGGGGAAATCTGTTCTCAATTGGCAGATTATGAATATAACCCCTTTTCCTTGCAGCAGCACAAAAATACTTTGAATCAACAAACTCTGGCTCCACATCATATAAGAACCGTGAAATGGTGTTCCAAACGCCTTTTGGAGCAAGTGCCACATTCTCATAGTAGAAATAAGGAGGACCAGTAGCAGCTTCTGGAAGTGTTCTCTGAGTTATCTGATCTGATTCAGTAGGGACCCCAAAACCAATCATTGGATTTGGAAGATGAAGGGCATCATCAACTTCATTAAGAAACCTCTTTTCAAGCTTCATCTGCTTCCTCCTTTTCCACAAATCGTAGTCCAAGTTTCGCCTCTTCTTGCGATTAGAGTCATTGCAAAATGGCTTCTGTTAAGTTGGATGGAAAATCATTGGTGTAAACTTTACACAAAATAGGAGGAAAACTACAGCAAATTGAAATTTTCAGTTAATTAAAAAGAAAATATGAAAGAACAAACTACAAAAGATTTAGAAAGAGTATTACAAGTCAGAATTCTTAGAAAGGGGAAAGAAACTACCTTGTCTTCAAGGGGAAAAAGTGCATCAGCAGCCTTGGCCATTTGAGCAGCACATATAAAGTCTGTCAACTCTGCAATTGAGGAGTCTGGACCTGCAATATTTAAAGAGTTAATGTTAAGGTACGAATTGAGTGTAAGAACTACATCCCTCCCTCTTACAACTTAAAAAGGCCCAGGATAACACCTCAAAAGTATCACAAACTTCTACAAAGATTGAAACCCAAGTGTGCTACCTAGAAAATTCATTGTTGAAAACTAGCATACAGAAAATCACTTGGGTTTCTCTACAGGTACAAGCCATTGGGGCAAGTTTATTAGGTTACATTCTTTTCTGCAGTAGAACAAAATGACAACTTATTCTATTCCTTTTATGTTCAATCAAAGATGACAAATATGAAAGTTCACCATCTTCAACACATACAGGTAAATATAGTGGAATATCCTAGGACCCTTTTTTTTCTTTCTACTTGAAACTTTGATAACCTATGTACTATCAGCAAGAATAATGAGCAAAGAAATTTCACAAATATGAAAAAAAAAAAAAACACACACACACACACCACATCTCTCCATAGCTATTGACGCCTCCGCCTTTGAGTACCCCATTTTCGTCAAGTATAACAATTTCCTCTCCTCATCAGAATCAGGATTCATGGTTTCCTGAAACATAGAAATATAAAAAGCAAAAACATACATAAATAATCTGTAAGTGAAATTTGATAAAATATTCTGCTTTTGTGTAATATAGATAATTATTCACTAGCTAAATTATAGCATCTATATAAATTCAAATTCAATGACTAAAGGCCATAATATATTATCCATGCGGCTAGAAAAATTAAAATACAACAGCTCTTTAAACTTAAAATTTTCTCATTGGTATTAATGTAAGTTTTATAAATGTTTGCAAATTAAGCAAATGAAATAATAAATGTAACATTAAAGTTTAGATACCGCAGTCTCAGAAGAACTATCAATATCTGAGAAATCATCCAAAAAACTCCCTTCATAATCTGATGAGCAGTGACTAGAATCAGCATGTTGCTGCATGGAAGCAGATTTTTCTAGAGCCTGCAAATTTTAAACAGGTCTCATGACAAAACAAAAAGAGTAAATAACTACTCTGCAAGATACTCCAACAACTTGCAAAGACAATTCTATTTGGGGAGGATTGGCAAATATCACCTGAACCACTGAATATGTAGGTTTGCTATTGCACTAAAATCAAGATTACTATACATGCAAAGTAGATTTTTCTAGGCACAAAAGCGAGCTTCAGAAAAAAATGTTCACCATACAAAGGGACTTGAAACAAGGTTCAGGTGTATAACTTACTGAATACGTCAATAGAGTCTCCAATATGGAATCTGTATTTCCCTCCCCTGAAAATATAGAGAACAGGATTATAGATAAAGCAGTTGAGGTGAAAACTGACGTCTAATAAAATCAGAAAAGACCATTACCGTTTTCCTGAACTGCTTTGAGAACCATTTCTTCAGAGAACCCCATACCTACAAAATGATAAATCAACTTGGAATTTGAAGAACTAGCCAATGAGCTTGCCTTCATACCAAAAAGGGGAATCAAGAATTAATAATATTATGAAATCTGCAAACTAACACATCAATAATCTAACAGTAAAAATTTTGCCAAGAGCATGTGCAGCAACTTTCTAGCATCGTGATGCACGTAACTAATAAGCATCTTACAAGGACACACAATAACTCACCGAGTACTGAAGGAGAGTCTCAAGTATCAAATTTGAGTTTTCTTGTCCTGGACAATAGTCAAAGCAGAATGATAAATGAGTTTGTTGAAACTTCAGCTCTAAGTGAAAAAAGACCTAGCAGCTTTACCATTTTCTTCAATTGCTTTGGCAACAAGTTCCTTCGAAAACCCCATTCCAACAAAGTGATCAATTAACTTGGAATTGGGAAAATCTGTAGACGAGCTCACCTTTAGACGGTAAAAGTTAACTATGAGTTAGTTATGAAATTACTTTGTCTCTTAACCATTACATGCCTAGAAAAGTTGCATGCAAACTACAAGATAGAAGATTAATTGTCTGCAAACATAAGTGGTATATGTGAATAATTAAGGTAAACACCAAAGTCAAAAATGTTGAGCCCAGTGATTAAATGCAACATTTTTACAGTTCTGGAGGCTAATCAATGAAATTTGAGCAAAGCACATCAATAATATCACCAACTAAATAGAATACCAATGAAAGATTCAAGCTTTTAATAGAAGAAAAAGTACAGACTTCAGAAAAAAGCAGTACGTGAAAAGGAGATGCAAAATTACAGAGGCCTCTAGTAAAAATTACCTAAAAAGTCAATGCTCCATTATCTCAACTAATTCCCACAGGAACTCATCAATTAATGATCACTAGCCAAATGTACAATGCTTCTTTGAAAATTACAGATGACAGATAATTCCATCATACACCATCCTTATAATCATTAAAATAATTTGCACCTTAAAATCCTGATCAATACAGCAACTGCAATACTATTCCCTAATGCCCTGTGAACTAATTACATATGAATATGTACCTCTGCTGACCCCAAAACAGCTTTTCCATGGGGAAGTGACACTTCAGAGCAGGGGGAGATGGCATAATTATCAATTTCCAGCTCATCTTCAGTATCCCAGTCAAAATTATCTGCATCACCACCACAACTATTTCCATTCTACAGAAATTACAGATGAACAAAAACATGAATGATATCAGATTAAGAAATACAGGAATAATATTAAAATGACACCAAAAAATTTTAGAAACAAAACTAAAGAGTACCATTTTCCTTGAGCTATAGTACGGCCCAAGAAAAGTTTATTAATCTGTAAAAGAAACAAATGAAGATAGATCAGAAGCCAGGGTAAAATATCAACACAAAACCAAAAAATTAAACAATTTATCAACAGCCAATCTATGTGCAAGTTATTAGATGCAATGCATATAATTTGCTAATATTAATAAAGGATTGAAACTCAATGACTCCTATAGAACAATAACAGCAACAACAAAGTAAGCCTTTTTACATTACATAGAAACAATCATATCCTCAGTAACCTATGAAAGTTCAAGGTCCATTTCCAACAATCTAAGCAATCAACAACTTAAAATGCAAGATGTTCCAGCTCAAGTCACTAGATCAAATTAAAAACAAGGAGGCTTAACCATCCACATCATGAAGAGCTTAAGAATTTCCCCCAAAAGGACATTATCCATAACAAGAGAGTCAATGTTTTTTCTATACTAACCCTTAATATTTATTGTTATTATAAAAAAATCCAAATTAGTATATAATACAGATAATAAGGGAAAAACTTATATAAAGTTCTTTAGATGAAGTTTGTGAAGTTCTTTATTAAAAATAATTTAACAAAAATTTTAATAAAAAATCCAAACCGATAAATTGATAGAGTTCAACGAGAAGATCAATAATATATAAAAAAAAATTATTGAAAATATCGTTTATAATTAAATTTGATCAGTGCTTATTTAACAGTAAAAATTTTTAAAAATTTTTACTAAAAATGACTATCTAGAAAACATATCAAATTTATTAAAATTTTTTCAAATTTGCATACTTGATATATGTAATAAAAACTTTCAATCTATCAATTTTAATTTTTTTAATTTTTAATCAGTTTTAATAAAGAACTTCCCAAACTTCACTAAAAATACCTGTCTAAAAACATATCAAAATTTATTAAATTTTTTTCAAACTTTGCATGCTTGATCTATATAAGAAAAACTTTCAATTCATCATTTTGATTTTCGATTTTAGTTTTTATTTTATCAGTTTTAACAGAGAACTTCAGGAACCTCGCTTAACAAACTTTATTTAAGTCTTTCCCCAGATAATAAACTGCTGCACAAAATTCGATGCCAAAATTTGACTCTCTCTTTCCCAGCTGAGAAAACTGAAGCAGAAAAAAGATAGTAAAAAATAAAACTAAAGTTTAAACAGCAAAAACAAATAATTTCTCGCCAACCAAACAGAAGCAAAAAGAAACGCATCAGCGAAACGCCTAAACGTACATTAAACCGATAAAAAAAAATCGAAATCAACGGAAACAAACAGTAATTAAAGCTATAATCACATTGTTAATCAATGAAACTTACCTCGACGAATCGAAGATGAGAATGATAAACTGATCCTGAAACTATCTCAAAGAAATACAACAAATGCAGTCAAAAAACAAACCGTAAAAACGAAGAGCAAAGCTTAATCATGCAAAGAATGAAAATAGATTGACAAAAAAATTGGAGGTTTTGGTTCATGGCAGCTAACTTTTTTAATTTGTTTTCTTTTCTTTGAGAGAGAAAAGAAGAGAGTGACGAAATTGATTGAGAGAGTTGTTGTATTTGCGGTAGGAGCGAGGTGAAAAATCGAAAAAAATCGAAAACTTATTTGAAATTATAGCATTTAGTTCGATTTGGGTTTTATTTTTTTATTCAGTTTAATATTAAATGATTATATTAAATTTAAATTAAATTTTGATCGAAAAGTAAAGAATTAAATTTAATAAAATTATATATTTTTTAAATTTTATAAAATAAAAAAATTATTTTATATTTAAAATTATTTAAAAATATTAAAATTTTAAATTAAAATAATATTTAATAAATAAAAATATTTTTTAAATTAATTTTAAAAAAAATTAAACCGAATTCAATTCCACCTTAAATAATTTTCATCCCAGCTTTACGGTGCGAGAATCGGAATTTTTTGGCGGAACAGTGAAAGAAAAGGTCGGTTAAAATCTAAGGCTTCGTTTGGAATGTATCGCACCCTTCAGTGTGATGCATTTATTATGAAAAAAAGTGCCAAACGCGAATTTGAAAGCCAAATAATATTACAGTGCGTTTTATTTTTAATCGATCGGCCACTGGAGTCTGTACCTTCAGTCCATCTCCGTTTCAATTTCTTTAAATTTTTTTTCCATTTGTCTCCTTCAACTTAACAACTTTTAATTTTTTCTTTTTTCTTATTTTATTTTTTATTTAAAAAGTATAAAGTAATTTTTGTTAATTTAATATAAAAATAAATTTCATTATTATACAATAAATTAATTAATAAATATATTATATAATAAATTAATAAATATTTTAATTATTCATTAACAAAATTATTATTTGATTTTAAAATTTTAATTTTTTAATTATTTATTAATTTTATAAATATTAAGTAATTTAACATGTTAATTACATAGAATTTGTAATCAATGTCCTTAATAGTTAATTTTTTTATTAAAATTCATTTCACCTTTATCATTATTTTTACATTCAAACATATATTTTATTATTAATTTTATTTCATCCTATAATAATTAATTTTATTTTTATTATTATTTTTAATTTCATTCGAAATTAATTTTATCGTCTATTTAAATGAACCCTAAGTATCCATTTAAATTTAACCGTAATTTCAATGCGATTTAATTAAATTCACTATACAACAAATTAAATTCAAATATTAACTTCAATAAAATTTATTCAACATAAAATTTTCATTAAAGTTTTTTTTAATCGTACTTATGATAATTTTTTTCAATCAAAATTATACTAATTTTTATTACTATTTTAATTTTTTCCTAATCAATCTCATAAATAGAACATAAGACTAAAAATTTTCAGCTTATTTTCGCTTTGCTCGATCAGTAGTACAAAACATTCGTGCTACTACTAGGGTCGTTGGCTAAAGTAATAATTTATAAAAAATTAATTTTATGACTTTTTAAACTAGATACACTTGTTTTTAAGAAAGAGAGTTTTTTTTACCATTTTTTGTATGGGGTTTTAAACTTTAATTTTATTTATTTGGGTTTTTGAATAAAATTTTTTTGTTATTTTTGTTAAATAATTTAATTATAAATTTAAGATAAAATAATAATATATGTATGTACACGATCATGTGAGATTAGCTTTTCTCTCTTTTATTGCACTTGACAATATCATACAAATAAAAGAGAGTTCATTGGTTTTGGAGATTGTTTGGTTATTGAAAACTCAAAATTTTTTCGAAAAATATTTCGTTTGGATAATCGATAAAAGAATTTTATTGTATTGTTGTTATTTTATCATTAAATTTTAAAGGTTTTTTGGCAAAACAATAATTTCCATGTTATAAAAATTTGTCTATCTTCTGTCTAAATAAAGAAAAAATAATTAAAATTTAAAATTTAAGTTTTATTTAAAATTAAAGAAAAAAATCTTGTATTTTAAAAATGTGAATGTTTGTATAAAAATCATTAGAGAATTCTTGCTAATTTAAAAGAAAATCAAACTAACAATATTATAATTATATTGTAATCTTTAATTACAATAATTACACTAATACATTATTGAATTGCTTTGGAATGTATTTTTGATTAAGAAAATAAAAACCAAATGAAATAGTATAAATTAAAAGATGATTTTATAACTCCAACTTGAAGAATTAAAAAAAAAAAGTTAAAATCTCACATTTCAATGGCTTGGAAGTTGGATGTTGACGATCTGTTTCTTTTTTTTTTTTTTTTTTGAGATAAAAGATGAGGATGATGGGTTCGAATTTTTATTTTATATATATATTTAAAAATTTTAATCATTAAATAAAAAATTAAAAATTTTGTTTCACTTTTATTCATAAATGAATAATTAACTTTTTATTTTGTTTTAATAAATATGAGAAAGATATTAAAAACTAAAGAATCACATTTTGAAACACAACAAAAAAAATTTATGAGAAAATAAATTCATGAATAAAAAGCATTTTATTACGATAAATTATAAAATATTTCTCGAACCAAACACACCCTTAATTTATTCAGAACAACACGTGATATTGTCTGCTTTACTTTACTTTTCCTTTTGTCATTGTGCTAGATTCTTAATTTTGCTTTGGAAATATAAGTAGGGGTAAACACGTAAATTATTAAAATATTAAGATTAAACATTTTATTTATTTATTTATTTTTCTCATAAAATTTTACGTTATACTTATTCTATCATAATCTTTATTTTCATAAAATTTGAATAGAATTATTATAATGAAATAATGAATGAAAATAAAAATAATGAATAATTATATCATTGATATTAATATAACTTAAATTTTATATAAAAGTTTCTAAAAAATAAGAAATTTGGAAAAAAAATATTTTCCCATTCATTACAACTTATAAAATAAATAATACTCATTCTATCCCACTGTGTTTATTTCAATTGATTTTTTGGGGTTAAACAAATTGAATTTTAACCATTGTTTTCTTGAATGATAGTCATCATCAAGGCATCATGAATTATATATCAAATGGCAGAGTGTTTATCCATATGCATTCTTGTAAAAAGGCTTCATGATTTATCATCTAAACATCATCAAATTGTTATATGTTGCAGGAAATATGGATGAATCAGGGTAAATGACACAAAAAAATTAACATATGAAACTATACTTCATTAGTTACATATAGGCTAAACTAACCAAAAAAAAAACAAAACTTTGAATTTTACCATTTTATTTAAGTAAAGCCACTATATTTTTATTTTATTTTAATAAGTTTTTAACACACCTAAATAAAATTTTAATGTTTAATTTGTATATAAATAAAATATTAATATAAATCGATCGTTCATTTGAAATAAAGATTTATATGGATACAAATCAAAGTATAAATGATTATTTTGATACAATAAAAGTATAAAGACTTATTAAAAAAATAAAATAATTCATGAATTAAAGATAAATATATTTATCATTTTTGGTAAATTTTTTCATACATAATATAAAAAATAAAAAATTTAACATTTAGTCAAACTATACCAACAACTTAATATTTTTATTTAATTCATAAGGATATTAAAAATGCATGCAATCTACGACATAATAACTTTTGAAAATACATAGAATGATTAGATTTGATAATTTAAAATATGACATAATAATATGATATAAAATATATATATAAGTAATACGATTTAAAATTTTAATAATAATTATATATAGGTTTAACAAAATAAAAAATATATTTTATATTTTTATGTCAATATGAATTATAACATATAGTTTTTTATAAAATATAATAAAAGTATATAAAATGTAATATTTTATATGATATAAATACAAAAATTATCAAATCTATGGATGACGGCTATGCTAAATTGGATGGATGAAACCCAAAAATTCAAGTATTTGTTGATTTAGTTGGTCATTTAAACTTAAAACATATCAGGTAATGAAGGTTTCATCCTTCAAACATTTATTACAGGCCAGACTCATGCATGATTGGGGTTTAGCTTCCCGGACCCAAGTCCAATTTAAGCCCAATTTAATGTGAAGTTGACATAATAATTTCGTTGCGTTGTATATAGTTGTTTGATATTAATATGTTCTCATATATATTGAAATCATTGTCTTTGTCATATACCTTGTTGATTATATTTTGAGATTTTATTTTAAAGGTTTTAAATTCAAATTCTATGAATAAAATGCCTTTTTTTGTAGTTTAAAGAACCGATGGAGTCTTCATATATTTTGAAATCTTGAAACTTCGTTTGCTAACATCGTGAGATTCCCAAATCCATTGACTAATATTTTTTATGAGATGGATCATGAAGGAATGGATGTTGTCCTTTTAGATGAACTAGAAATTTCCATTGTGACTTAGCTTAATCGAATTGGCCTCGATCAAGCACATAAATGATGATAACACTTGTTATTAAAGCAAATATTTGATGTTATATTTGCACTATGGGCGACCAATCATGTGGTTTTTTTCCCTTATCTTTCACATGAAGGTTTTCCTTTTGCTCTATTGGTGATTTTCACACAATAAACATTTGATCAAATAAAATGAGCGGCTCCAATTTGAGCTCTTTCTCTTATGTTTTGGTAAGCAATTGAAAACTCACACAAACATTGTCCTCTCTTTTCTTTCCCATACGAGACACTGCAAAATCCGAAGCAATGGTATCTTGGAGTTATCTTCTCAATTCTTGTTTTGGATAAGAAGTTGGGTGATAAAAGTTGAAGGTTGGTATCACTGCAATTGCTGGATCCGATATCATCCAAATGACCAAACTTCATATATACTCCATGTTATAGGTGAGATGCATACATGATATAAAATTTTATTTCTCTAAGTTTTAAACCATAAATGCAACATACGAAGATTTAATTTAAGAGTATATTTTCTTTAAGTGTAACTCGAAAAATATCAATAAAGTCAATGAGTTAGTAGGTATGCCATAACTACTATTGAAGTGAAGGTGATAGGAAAACAAGATCTGAAAAACTTTCTTTCTCGACCACCCGATAACATGTTAAGCAAGTGGATGTGAAACTTATAATGAAAGAAACCCAAAATTCAATTCAGTTAGAATGCATATAATTATTTATAAGAAATGGTATTAAGGAGGTTTAAATTTTAAATCTGAACATTTAAAGCTCATGATCATTTTCTTATTTTCAGACTGCAATTTCCTTTGCATGAAAAAAAAATTATAATAAGGAGCACGTGAAAACTTCCTTGCTTCCACTACAAGAGTTAGGCTCACGTCGGCCTTCAAGTTTGTATGGCCACGCACAAAATTGGAAACAAATGGAAAGCAAAGTTGAATAGTGCTATTCTTCCATGAGCATATATAGCCTTTGAAGTCGAAAGGACGTGTCGATATTCTATGGCTTTAGTTAAGTAACTCGTGGATATCTCTCTCACTATTAAAAGCCATACTTAATCCAAATTATCATATGGAAAATGCCAAGTACAATTTCTCAACCTCAACCATATAGAGATTAGATTAATCCAAATTAAGCAAAATTAACTCGGAGCCATGCGAAGGAAATGTACTTAATCTTAATGTTTAGTCGCCATTAAGCAACTGCATGGACCATATATCCTCCATGCTCCAACAGCTTTCATAATTTGATTGATCAACTGTGTGTTGTTGTCCTGGAAATGCTTCAATGTTGAAATGGTTAAATGATGATGATGTCGGAGAGTATGTTTCCATGAAATTTGTAGTACTATTGCAAGGCAATTGGCTTGTGCTTGCTTGATGAGCAAGTAAGTCAGAATTACTCTGAGAGGAGCATATTTCTGCTTGCTTGTTAATGTGTTTCTGGATTCTCGTCCTCCAATAGTTTTTTATTTCATTATCCGTCCTTCCAGGCAGATGCTTTGCTATTTTCGACCATCTGCATATTTATGTAAGCAAATTATTTTAAATTCTTGAAAAATCTATGAAGATACTAACATCAAATAATGTGATGTTGCAAAATGCAAATAACACATTATTATGGTGAAAATCCAAACTCCAAGAGTCTTCAAATCCTTGTTAGTAGTCTCATTTGTGTAAAAGAAACAAGTAGTTTATAGTTACATTCTTCCATGGATTCTCAAAATTTAAACCCACTTTCATTTATAGTTATTGAGATTTGTCCAGCAACAATTTTTTCCAACAAGATAATAATATAATGATAATGTAATAAACCACCAAATGTCACAATGCTGATTTGGTTTTGATGAAAAGCTCCTAATCCTCTTTGGAATACTTGTAAATTTTCAAAGGGCAGACAATGTCTTAACCATCCAAAACAATAAGGTTTATGCATGTCTACTTCAACCAAGTATAAAATGCTTCTTTTTCCTCTTAAAACAAGTCTTAACATGTGTCCAATTGGAAGGGTTCAGCTTAAAATGGAAACCTCTTATTACCAATTTGGTTAGAAGTTGTACAACTTTTATAGTTATATATATCATTACAAATATAACTGGAAAATTCAAGAAAAAAAAATCAAATTATCAGGAATTTTTCGCAGCCAAGAAAAATTCAAGTACTGAGGGAGTTGTATAAAGAAATTTTGGTGGCCACGAACTTTGATGAAAAAGAAAACCCATGTGTTACAAATCTTTTGGTGGCTGAAAATAGCTCAAATCCCACGTTGCTAAATCCTCAAGAAAAGAGCAAAGGTGACCAAGATTTGATGCATAAATATGTAGGCCTCGGTGAAGTGCACTTTTTCTCTTAATCAAAATGAAGTTGAAGTCATAGCACACCAATGAAGAGGGGAAGAATTTCTTCTTTGTATTTGTTGCAAGATCAAAGGTAATAGGATATTAATTTATTTGTTCTATATGAATAATGCATATATACTTTTATATATATCATAATTATTTTTCTTTAGAAATAGTGTTATATGTTGAAATAGGCAATATTTGTTATTGCATGACTGACCTATTTCCCCACTTAGCATGCAGTTCCATGATCAAGCATTGTTCTTCTGGAGTGATATTGCCTCTTCGGACGTCTGGACGAAGGTAATTCAACCACCGGAGTCGACAACTCTTTCCGGTACGCTTCAACCCTAACAAAAGTTACAAAAAAAAAAGACATTTTTTTATCACTAAGGTACTACTATATCTGTTTTTCAATGAAATAAAAGCTTGAATCATTTGTACCATTTCCTTTTCAACGAAAACAACTAATAAATTAACTATATGGATCAAATTTGTCTTTTGTTTATGAAAGGTTTTTTAAAGCTTCATTTCCCTATATTTTGCTTACTATTATATGTTGATAATTTACCCGCTGCTTTAGCAAGATTATTCCAATCTCCTTCACCATGGTTGGCAATGTAGTTGATGAGAATCCAATCTTCTTCCATGGTCCATGGTCCTTTTCTCACTTCAACTTCTTGAGAGTTGCATGGCTTTTTATCCATCTTTTCTTTTTGAAAATGAGAGAATTTAAGAGAGAAAGAGAGGGAGAGAGAGGAAGACAATGTGATGCAAAAGAAGGTAGATGAGGGTTTTTATAGAACAAAATTAAGATGATTTTTAGTAGTCTTGTTGCTAATATATACTATTAGAGAATAGCTTTTAACCTAACTATTGTGTTAATGAAAACACATGCATGCATGGCCACATTATAGCCACTTCTTAACATATTTTATAAATATTATTATATATGAGTTAAAAATGAATTAAAATCATTTCTTAATTGTCAGATATTTTGAGAAGTTTTGAGGGACTTATTTTATGCAAAAAGAAAAGAAAAAAGGAAACAAAATAAAAATGAAAAAAAGCAAAAAGATTGTATATATTATTACTAAATTATAAAATAAACTTTGTCATTGGTCATAGATTATTGAACTTTTAATAAATGATTGATAAGCAATTAAATTTTCAATTTTTATGTGAGAAAGTGGGTTTTAATTCCAATATAAGCTTCTAAAAAGAATTTTATATGAATGTTGGGTTAGCTGACTCTGAACAAATTGTTATATCTAAAGGAAAATATGAATGTGGAGCAACATAACTTATATTTTTCTAAAATTAATATAATTTATAGTTACAACTTGAATTCTTCAAAAAAGAAATTAATTTTAGCAAAAATTAAGACATGAAAATGAAAGTATGAAACCCATCAAATAATATATATGAGAATCCCAAGCCCTTTAATCTCATTGCACAAATTAGAATACATTAGAAATCTCAAAAAAAAAAAAAAAAGATAATAAATACACTGAAAATCATAATTTAAACAAAATTAGGTTCTATAATTGGCTTGTCATTTTTTTCATTAGTGATTACTTTTTGTTTTTTTGAAGTAAAAAAATATAATTATTATTCTAGATTTAATTTATAAATTTTCCTAACAAAGAAATATAGACCGTCATTTGTTATATATGCATAAGAAACATACATGTGTGTGTGTGTGTATATATATATATATATATATATATATATGTACACGTATATATATAATTGTTTTGTGATTATAGTTTTGAAAATTAGCCAAAATCATATGATTTAAATTAGGTATGAAAACGATGTTTGATTTGATTTTAAAGAGAAAATATGTGATCCAAATCTCATATCAAAGGCAAGAGAAATTAAAACACAATAAAGGAAAAAATGGAAGTTAATTAAGAAGCACAAATAAATCTCAACTAAAAAGGTTAATTCCTAACTAAAAATCATTTTTAAAAAACTTATTTGATTAATTCATCACAAAACTCTCTTTTGATAACAAAAGTTGTTTGAGTTCTTTATCAATTTTAGCAAAAACTAATTACTCATGTTGTAACCCTCAAGTTTTCTTGATGCATGAAATTAGTATTTCATATTTTCTTTTATAATTATTATATATACCACAAAAAATTATAAATTCTCGTAAATCCGAAACTTATAGTCAAAAGTGACATTCAGTAAATTTAAAATTTAAATCTGAACACATATAATTTTTTCTTTTATCTCTAAGTTATGACTTTAGAAAAAAATTATGAGTCCTTTTATAATTTTCTGTAGTAAAAAAAAAGGTTTAAAAGATCTCTTTGTCTAAAAAGTAAAACAATTTAAATTGAAAAAACCATTGTTTCTTCTTTAAAAAATAAAGTAATTTTCTTCCCAATTTTTTTCCCACAAAAGTAATGACATGTATTTTTTATTAATTGTTTAATCCTAACTTTTGGTACAAATGTATAACTATATTAGTGCTTGATATACTCTGAATAATACTTAAATACTTGGCTGTGCTTGATAGGAAAATACTCTTCAAGAGTGACCAAAGAAAAATCATGTGCTAAAACCCTTATTGGGAAAGTGTAAGGCCCTACAGCCTTAATTTTGGGCCACCATTTGTGGTGATTAGACTCCAAAGGACATAAAGGGGGCCCCCTTTCCTTGTTTGGAGAACAAAAATTATTGTTTGCTTTCCTGATTAAAAAAAGCTGAAAGCAGGAAAAAAAGTTTAATGTTAGGTCAGAATATCATATTTTAATGAAATTTAAATTTTAGTTTTTTTTTAAATTATAATTCATAATAATATAGTTTTTATATTATTTTAATTTAATAATTTTAATTTAATTATTAATCTCATCAAATTTTTTCATTTAAAAATTACAAAATTAATAATTAGACTAAAATTATCATATCAAAATAATATAAAAATTATATTTTTATGAATTATAATAAAAAAATTAAATTTAAATTTCATTAAACTATAAGGACTATTATCATAATTTCACCTTAATGTTCCTCTCAAAGCATATTCATGTGAAAATAATCAATAACTTGGCTTAATTTTCGTTTTTTTTCTTTTGTTTTTAATTAAAAAAAAAAAAACTAAATCTCAGCCATACATAAAATTTGTGGCTAATATTTGGATTATAGGCTGTCTTCAACCATGGAGAAAGTTGATGGACAACAAGATATTTTTGGTTTAATGATGTTTGTTTCCAAATTGCAAAATGAAACCAACTCTTTAATTTTTTTTTTTCCGATGATTATTGTCTAGATATGGAGATCTGTCCAAGTTGTATCACATGGATACACTTCAAATCCCAGTATTAAACAAATAAATTATTATTTAATTAATTATTCCAAAATTTTTACTATATTTAATATCCAAAGCATTCACTTAATACTAAATAATCTCCTTTATTGGATTGACTGGTTGAATAGGAAATCAAAACTCCATCAGTTTAATCTTGGGTCGGATTTTTCATATAATTATAAAAGAATAGAGTTGAAGTACTGCATAGATTTATAGATTTTTAATATTAATTCAAGTGATATCTATGTTTTATGTGATGATCTAATATTTATGGTACACATTCGTTGCATAGAATGCTGCTTGAGTGTTGGTTCAGATGAGATCATCTATGGCCATGACTCTAAATTTTGATGCTAATGTCCTAAGCGGAAGTGGTTGTTCAAGATGCCTCAAAGAAAGGTTTGTGAAAAACAGCTCCGTAGTCTTTGGTTGCATGGCTCTGTAAGATATCCAGAAACTTTCAATCAGGTTCTGTCCTATCTATGCTGTTAACTTTCTCCAGCTGTTTCCTGGGAAGACAATCAGGTTCTGGACATCGAGGGGCCTGATCTGCCATCCATGGCGAAGTCCGACTATCTCTTTACCCTGTCGATAGCCTGATCATGATCAAGTTTGCCGGTGCAGGGAAGAATAGAACACGTCAGGCAAAAGTCAAATGTGAATTAGATGAAAAATACAAGTACATGGATGGTAGGTACAAAATACAGTTACAGATCCCAACCATTTAGTGCCACAATTTAAGGAGTCCTAATCTCCATACGAAAGCAAAATACAGCAGCCACAACTCAAGTCCTGACTGTCTGGTTGAGATTCACAGGAAAAAACAGGCTAGTCATATAGATAACATGAAAGATAAATATGCTACGTTAGCACAATTTCTTTGCACCGATGAACATAGGTCGTTCAATTTAGAAGCCAAGGAAGGGGCACTGCTTTCGAGCATGTTCTGGTATCAGCTTGGCCAGAAGCTCCAAACTCGCTCCTTTCAGCTCTAAAGTGTCATCATTGGCAAGAGAAGCGTTCAGTAAGCAACAATTTCACGTGTCTAAAAATAAAAGTGGATAAAATGACTTACCTTGAGGTTTGAAGTTGAATAATGGAGGCAAGGGGCGACCGTTAGGAAGGCAAGCATTAGGATCACGAAGTTCATCAAAAAATGGATGGATACAGGCCTCTAACTGCAAATATAAATGAATCATATGGTATTTAGATAAAATCAGAATAGAAATCATGTGAAAGTTGCATGGTTCCACCAAATGTTATTGCAATAACATCACCCTTTTCAACAGGGCCCAAATTACAACAATTAAAACAATTTCATGAAAGCTCGCCACAAAAGGAAACAACTATGGTGGAAAAAGAGAACAAAATAACCACAGCACCGTATAATGAATCATTTAAAAGTGTTCAAGCATTTTGAGTTAAACCTCGATATTAGTATGTTCTAAATCACGAGCAACCAAGTAAGAAATACTTACTGCAGTGCACCTTAGATTTGGAGAATATTGAAGAAGTCTTGAGACAAGATCTACTGCTTCTGGAGGCATGCGCTTGTGAAATATCTGTGATAAACTTAAAGTTAGCCGGATTGATTTGTAATAAGGTACAAAGAGATATAATTAGTGAAAATTGATCAATAAAGAAACCATTGTGCTCACTTTATGCCAAGGATGAGCCTTAATTTGAGGGAATTTGAACTCTGTGTAGTTCGGATTCATGCATTTTATCTCCTCTCGAGTAGGAGTCCCAAGTACCTAAAAGGAAATTTAATTCAGCTCATTAATCTAATTAACAGTTGCATCAGATTTTTGGTGCATTTAAAGATACAAACTCTACCTCATGCCACCAAGTCCAAAATGAAAATTACCTTAATAATCTCAACAAGTTGATCAACTCCACTCTCACCTGGAAAGAGAGGCTAAAAGTTCGATAGCCAAAAGAGAGAAGAAAACATCCATGTTTAGTTCACTTTCTACTTTACACTTGGTATAAAACTACAATTTTCTAGCATTGACGAAAGGAACCTGTCCAAGAAGCAATTCGGCAAGGACACAACCAACAGACCATATGTCAATTGCAGTTGTGTACTCTGTTGCCCCAAATATGAGTTCAGGTGCACGATAATATCGAGAACAGATATATGATATATTTGGCTCGCCTTTGACCTGTTATAAGAAAATGGATGATAAGCAATACAAACACTGCATGGAAGAAAAGTAGAGATAGTTATAATGAGTAAACTCAAGCATGAGAAGGAAAAGAGGCAAGATATGTAGTTACAAAAGTTAGAAGATCAGGTAGAACAACAGTTAAAGAATGTAAAGCCTAAATAATGCATGGAACCGTGTATAACATTTTTGAGAAAATGACAACTCCATGCATGTGCAAATTTCAATAATTTTAAAAGAAAAATCCTACTCATATCAACTATGAAACCGAGCAACATTGCAATTTTCAAATAAGAATTATGAAATAAATAAGACCATACCAGAACTTTTGCACTTCCAAAATCACATAGCTTGACCTGATGAGTATGGGGGTTAACCTGCAGCAACAAATTTTATTGCTACATACCGTTACTATCTAATCATAATGCAGGACAAAAGTGAGCTTCAGATGCAAACCAGAAGATTCTGTGGCTTAATATCCCTGTGGCATACACCTACACCCCCATGGATATATGCCAAAGCTCTACAAATCTGCCAAAATTCATTGCATACATAAGTCAGAAGATCAAGGTTATGAGGGGACAAGATACCTCGACCATTACAAGTTCCTCATAATCACACAAGAAAGCTAAGCAGGTACTAAGTATTCACATTTAAAATTTATTTCATAGTAGGACAACAGAGTTAAATAAGCATTATCGATAATAAATGTCTCTTATATAATGAAAAACAAACGTGGAAGTGTCGAAACACGTGCTTCTTAAGTACCACTAGAACCAAAATTGCAGCTGAAAATTTGGCTAAAGCATTTTACTCTAATCAAAACTGAACATCAAAGAGGATATACAACGGACAATCATTGGAGCCATGACAATAAAAGTGCAACTGCAACCATGATACAGCATCGCCATCGATAGGTAACTGCATACCATATTTCCTGAAATTCCCACAAACATATTCTTCTCCACTTTTGTATACAATAACTACAAATCATGTTTCAACTATTACTTAGGGCGAAGTAAAATATATAGATGGCTCAGATCTATTACCTGGTATGTGTAGAGTTTGACATATATCAGAGGCATTCGCTGATTTGCTCTACTATAGTGCTTTGCTACACGATATACAGTCTCGGGAACATATTCAAGCACCAAATTAAGATAGAGCTCATCCTTGTCAGTTGTTGAAAAGAAGCAGTGCTTGAGTGACACGACATTGGGATGATCAAGTAGGCGCATTGTTTGCAGCTCACGGTTTTTATATCTCTTATCCTGTAAAACCTTCTTGATTGCTACAGTTTCTCCACTTTCTAGACACTTAGCCTGCAAATATTATACATACATAAGGCTGTAAAACTGCATCTGTAAGCTTATAATAGAGGCATAGAAAAAAGGCCCTTGCGTTTATGATTCAGAAGTTGTAATCAAAACATCACCTGAAATACAATTCCAAAAGAGCCCTGACCTACAACACGCTCAGCCATGTAACTTATCGTCTGCAGGACAGTACAAAAGGAATTTAAAGATAAAAGGGTGTAATGCATGTTGGTTTCTCCAGCACTTCTTACTTCACAATGATATTAAACTTCGAAAAAGTGAGAAGTTGTAGTCTTAGATGATGGGATTAATTAGATATGCATTCATATTTTGGTTGGTTATCATGGAAATATAAACCATGAATCCAACTCCAAAGATCCAGTCAACCGATGCCATTACATGATAAATATAAAATACGTTATAAAGGAAGCATGACTATGTACATTTTGTAGAAACTGCAACATTTTTCGGTCTAGCATGCATTTCTCATTTTCTTTCCAAAACAGTACTGATAAATTATATGAAAGAGACATAAATGATAGTATGATATATTGACTCTCATAACACGTGGGATTTGATTACAATTCCACTTAAGAAAATATATACCTGCTTGGGTTGACCATTTCTACCTCCAATAGTAGTAACTATAATATGTCCTGTTTCAGTACCATTTCCATCCACCACTGTTGCTTCCATTTCCTGACACACAAAAGTTTTGGTACATAAAAGAAAAAAAAGTTTTACCATAAAGAGACAATACATCATATAGAGATTTGTGAGAGGAGAAACCTTTTCAACTTTCTCATCCTTGATCTTCATCTCATTGATCTCCTCTGGGAGTTTGTCAACGAAAGTCGTATTAACAGTAGGTTTTCCAACCGCTGAAGTGGGCGCCATACCAGTAGAAGCCATATATGATATCTTTATATGAGCACTATGTTTGTAAGCTTGTTCACAGGCTGTATTTAAGAAAAGTGCATTTATAATCCAGCCAAAGACACAAAATCAAGACAATCTAACTCATAAATAATTTCCATAAGCTAGAAAAGAAAAATCCCCATCAAGCAAAATAAGGCACAACAGACAAACTAAGGTACGCCACTGATTTCGTCCCTTACAAAACATAAACTAGCAAACATTGTTGTTCAAAATGGTAGGAAAATTTTAACTGAGATGCAACAAACAAACTACAAACAGAGAAGAAAAAAACATTTCAGACCACTTTGATATTCTAAGAATGCCCACATATTCACCACAAAAACAAATTAAACCAAAGAAAACACAACACTATCGCTTATCCATGAAATGCCAAGGTTCTTTCTTAAAACAATACACAGCGTTGAACCTCAGCTTAGTGGCTTAACTAAAATATTTTGGATAACCAATAATTTTTTTTAAGAAATAAATTTTTCTCAGTTAACAAACAAAGCAAATTATTTGACACAATGCACATAAAACTTTCCACTAAAACACAAACATAATGGAGCAATCTAATGTTTTAAGTAAACCAACTTTCAAAACCAAAATCTTCCTTTTCCTTCTCTTTTCTTCAACTTTCTTACCATCCAAACAAAACTTCCAAAAAAATAATTAACAAAAAAGTCTAACCTTTGAAGCTGCAGATTCCCTCACATTTTGCAAACCCTTTGATCCAAACAAAAAAACGCACCAGGAAAATAAAATCAGAAACAAACTATATGTATATTTGCTTAAAAGTTGAGTCTTTGGAGTCCTTTTTTTTTTCTTCTTACAAAAGTTTGACTTAAGTAAGACTCTTTATTTCTCTTTGGATGCTCTTTTTTTTTTATTCTGAACCGAAGCTGAGCGGACCCCAAACTGATTTTATTAAATCTAGTTTAACGTTAGTTTTGACATCCGTACTCAGGAGTTAGTTTCACACGTGGCAGTGTTTGGTTGGGTAGTTTCTCTAGTAACGTCACATTGTTGACCGGATCATCGATGCGGAGAGATGTTAGCATGTTTGTGAAGTGTATGATTCAATTTATGAGAGCCCTTGGATTGGTTCATGTGAGGGGCAGATGCAATTGGACGGTGATGATTATGGGGAGGATGAAGAGCGGTGAGAGAGAGTGGATTATGCTCTTTTGTGATGGGAAAGGGAAGGCAATGCTGTTGTCAGAGGAACTTTGGACGTATCTGAATCACGAAACGCCAGGTCAGCATGACAATGACAGTTTCTTCAGTGTCGTCGTCTGGCATCCCATTAAAATGATTGATGAGCCTCTTTGAAGCCCAAAGCGATTAACTAATTGGGCATACCGAAAACGGATCATTTTGGCCTTTTTTCCATGCTTTTTTGCAATGTGAATTTTCGACACTCATCCATCATTATTAAAATATTTTAAATTTACAAAGATTATCATATATTTTTATTATATTAACTTTGTATTTTTAATATATTTTAAAAATATGTGTCAACATTCTAATTTTTACTTCTCTAGTCACTATATTAAATAATTTTTTAAATTATTAACTGCTCGAGCTCATAAAATTAAAAATAAATTCTCTTATAAAAATAATAAATTTTTTAAATTTATTTTTTTATTTATAAAATTAAAAATTTATTTAAAAAAATTAAATTTTTATCACTTAAATAAATAAATATTGATACTGTTAAATTGCTTTTTGCCTTGTTATGAGTGGTCACTCCCTTTTAAAAAAAAATTTAAAAATAAATAAATTATTTAATCTTTTAAATTAAGGTAACATATATTTTAAAGATAATTATATTAATTAATTGAATTAAAAATTTTAAAATTTAAATTTGCATATATATCAAATATTTATGTGTATGTATATATCAACATTTCATTTATATTTAACATAAAATAAAAATGATAATAATTTCGATTTGAATTAAATTTAATTTTGATTTTTTAAATTATATATAATATTATAAAATTTTAAAATTTAATCTGAATCTAAACATTTAAACTAACATTTTATTCGAACAAATTCTAATCCAAATTTATTAGTTTCGTTGGTTCATTAGTTTTATAAATATAGATTTTTTTATTTTAATATAAAATTTAATAAATTTGATATAAAATAATTATTTTTTAAAATTTTAAAAAGATTTAAAATGAAATAAAAATATATAATTAATTTGATTTAAAATTTTTTTATTTTTTAGTTTTTGATTTAAAATATTATTTAAATATAATATATACATTTAATATTTAAATTTAATTTAATCAATTAAAAAATAATCAATTCAAACCAAATCAAATACTAAAATTTTATTTTTTATTTTTTATTTTTATTTTTTTCTCACCCTTGCCTTAACAAAAGCACCGTAACATAAGATAAGCATGAGTTACAGAAGTAGAAATTACTAAATTTAAATTTTAATTGCTTTATCACGCCCCTAGGATTAGGAAACATGTAAATTCCAGAAGCCGTCAGTAAATTAATTTAATAATTTGAGCTGATTATTTTTAGAGACAACGAATTAAATTTAAAGAGTTGAGAAATCAACGGAGAGACTTGCAAAAGAAACAGGTCAGATCCTCCTTCCAATCTCTCAACAAAAGGTAAACTAAATTAAATTTCTTTTTCTGATGTCTGAATTTTCTTTTATCAAACAGGTAATCTACATCCATGAAGTTACTTTTTTTTTTAATTTTTTTCAGTGATTTATTCAGAGTTCTAATCTTTTTTAACTTATTTTTGCTCCTGGCTGGATTTGATCTATCTGTTTTTATTTTAATATTTCTGGGTTCATTTCATTGTTTCTGAATTTATCTTTTTTTTTTAACATATCTATTTGATTATTTTTATGTTTTTCTTTTTTTAAAAGATTTTTGGGTTGAATAATTTTGGGTATATGCTATCAAGTTGATATATGTTGTTTCAGATTTTATTGGGTTTTTAATGGTTGATTTGCTGACTTTTTATGTGAATCATTGTTGTGTGAGCTAGAAAGAGAAGAACAGACATGGGGCTGACATTTACAAAGCTCTTTAGCCGGCTTTTTGCCAAGAAGGAGATGCGTATTTTGATGGTGGGTCTTGATGCAGCTGGTAAAACCACTATTTTGTACAAGCTCAAGCTCGGCGAAATCGTCACCACAATCCCAACCATTGGTGAGTTGTGGCAAATTCACATTTCCCAGAAAAAAAATGAAATAGTATTCTTTGTTGTTTTGGAATGGATAGTGTCAGAATTCGTAATCTAATTGATTTTGATCCATTGATTGTAGTTGTGATGCAAAAGAAATGGTTCAAAAGATTTCATTTTGATTTATAAATCGGGTAGTGAAGTCTGTTTTACCTGCTTGGTGCATGTGAATCTTCTTACCTTATAGATAACTGAGTAATGATATGTGGCCTTGGTTGTTATGTTATTGTTGGCTTGTGAACCATGTAGTTTTATCTTTATTTGGAAGGAAAATGGTTCTAGAGGAATCCAATTTCGTATGATTTGTAGGTTTGAAATAGAAGTCAGACTTCCGGCTTGTTTTTTGTGAACTTTTGACGTTATGGTTATAAATAATTGATATTAACTTCATGACACCTTTCGGAAGAAAGGGTTATTAAATACGGTTTTTGGTTTGGTTCTGTTGGTAAGTTTTTATCTATTTTATATGGTTTTCTGAAAAGAAAAGAAATTACAGCAAAGAGTTGACTCTTTAGGTACTACCATCCAAGAGGTTTATTGATCCGCGAAGATTATAGTGTGGATTGATTTTTCTGAATTAGATGGCTTTTGGTGGTTTATCAAATCTATAATTTTAATTTACAAAGGTCTATTCATGCTTTTTTTTGCAGGATTCAATGTTGAGACCGTGGAATACAAGAATATCAGCTTTACTGTATGGGATGTTGGTGGTCAGGACAAGGTATGCATCTTAAAAGCTAATGTAGTTCTACGATGTACATATGGTAAACTTTTTGTGTCATTTACCTGATTCATCCCATATTTCCAGCTATATGTTGCAATTTCATTATGTTTAGATGATAAATCATGAGGCCTTATTTTCAAGAATGCATATGGATATAACACTTTGCCATGAATGCTTGTAGATGTAACACTTTGCCATTTGATGATTCATGATGCCCTTATGATGACTATCATTCAAGAAAAGAATTTTTTGGCATTTGTGTTGTTTATATTGGGAGAATAGCCAGCATTGAAATTCTACATATTTCTGCTATTTTGATGTAAAGCTCTGTATGGTCACCAACTTTCTTTCAAATACAGATCCGTCCTTTGTGGAGGCACTATTTCCAGAACACTCAGGGTCTCATTTTCGTGGTGGATAGCAATGACAGGGACCGTGTTGTTGAGGCAAGGGATGAGTTGCACAGGATGTTGAATGAGGTATGTTACCTTGTCCAATAAGGAGAATCCATTGATATATTTTTCATCTTTATCTCACACAGTTTTATAAACTAATACTTTCTTTTTTTTTCAGGATGAATTGAGAGATGCTGTTTTGCTTGTATTTGCCAACAAGCAAGATCTTCCCAATGCAATGAATGCTGCTGAAATAACTGATAAGCTTGGTCTTCATTCTCTCCGCCAGCGTCACTGGTAAAAATTGTCTCTCTTGTTTGCTTTTCCCTCCCACATGTTTTATTCTTTCACTGTTTGTGCACTGTTTGTGCAATTTTCTGATGTGATTTGGCGTCCATTACAGGTATATCCAGAGTACATGTGCAACTTCTGGAGAGGGCCTTTATGAGGGGCTCGATTGGCTTTCCAACAACATCACTAGCAAGGCAAGTGCATAAACCTCCAATCTGAGTAGAAAAAACTGTTCTATCATTTTGAATACAATGTAATTGACAATATAAGTCAGATTCGTTTTAGATAAGATAGGTCAAAATTAGCTTCCGCATTCACTTACCTACCATATCTTGCTTTCCTTTGCAGGCATGAGCCAGGATCGGTGTTTTGGTTGTTAGTTAGATTTGTTGGAAATCTGGCAAATCCAGGAAGGATACCTTCCTCTTTATTCAGGAACTTTTGTAATGACAGAATGTTTACTAGATAAATATAATATGTGCTTTCTTTTTCAATTTGTGGGTAATCTATGTCCTAGGAAGCAATCTTTAAAACAAGAAATGCATGCCGTTATATGTAGGCCTATTTTAAATTTCTTGGAACCGTGTGAATCCTCAACTCAACATTGAATGAATCTGTCATTCCATTTTCTACAGCAGAATACTACTTCTTTGACTACACATTCACAGTAGCATTCACATTTTCATTTGGTTTACAAGTTTGCTTATTCATGTGGGTTTCAACCTTGCATATGAATGACTTTTTCCTTTTTTATACAAATGAAAATGTTCAAGAAGAATAAAAGATATTATTTTTTTATCTTAATTTTTTAAAAAATAAGAACAATGTGTAATTAGTTTTAAGTTATTTATGGATGATTATGATTAAAAAAATCCATTCATCCTAGTCTAGGTATAAAATATTTGGTTAAAATATTAAAAGGGTTTATGAATTATTTCACTTTTTGTTAAATAAGTTTTTATATTTTTATTATATCTAAATAAATGCTTATACTTTAATTTGTATTTAAATGTTTTTATTTTAAATAATGTTAAGAATAATTAATGTTAAAAATATATTTAAGTATAAATTAAAAGTTTAAAAATTTACTTGGATACAAATTAAAAATTAAAAGTTTATTTGAATGTAAATTAAAAATTAAAAATTTATTTAAATGTAATAAAAATATAAAGATTTATCTAAATAAAGTTATAAATTTTAAACAAAAAAAAAAAAAGAAATATGGAGCATGATACTTATTTTTCACCTATGAATAAAAAATGGGACCCAAAATTAAATCATTGAGAGGTTTGATATATGAGTCAACCAGTTCATTAGCTTCATTTGCAATTTGAAAACAAACATCATTAAGCAAATAATATCTTTGTTGCCCTCAATTTCCCATGGTTGAAGACAGCCTATAATCCAAATATTAGCCACAAATTTTATGTTAAAATAATTATTTGATGAATTAATCAAATAAGATTTCTTTTAATTGAGATTTATATGTGCTTCGTAAATAAATTCCATTTTGTCCTTTATTGTGTTTAATTTCTCTTGCCTTTGATATGAGATTTGGATCACACATTTAAACAGATTTTTATGCTAAACAACTTTCTCTTTAGAATCAAATCTAACATCATTTTCATACCTAAAGAAAAAAAAATTATTTCTATATGTTAGAAAAAAAAAATCTAACATCAAATGCTAAGTGGGAAACAGGTTAATCCATGTTATGACAAATAGTGCATAGGTATCAATATATAACATTATTTCTAAAGAAAAAAAAATTATAATATGTATATAAAAGTATATATGCATTATTCATATAGAACAAATAAATTAATATCCTATTACGTACCCTTTGATCTTGTAACAAAAACAAAGAAGAAATTCTTCCCCTCTTCATTGGTTTACTATGACTTCAACTTCATTTTGATTAAGAGAAAAAGTGCACTTCTCCAGGGCTTATATATGTTTACAAATGTTGCCCACCTTTGCTCTTTTCTTGAGGATTTAGCAACGTGGTGTTTGAGTTATTTTCAGCCACCAAAAAGATTTGTAGCACATGGGTTTTTTTTTTTTTTTTCATCAAACCTTTTGGCCTCCAAAATTTCTTTATACAACTTCCTAGAGTTCTTGAATTTTTCCTGGCTGCCAAAATTCCTGATAATTTGATTTTTTTTTCTTGAATTTTCCTGCTATATTTATGAAGGTTTGGATGCCATCTATGTCGAAATTGTACTACAAGAATTTTGCTTCAAATTATTGATTTGCTTTTTTTTTTTTTTGCTTGCTTTAAAGAATTTTATGAAATATTTGTAATGATATATGTAACTATTAAAGTTGTAGGGCTAGCAAAATAGATTGGCAATAAAAGATTTCCATTTTAAGCTGAACCCTTCCCAATTGGACAAATGTTTTTAAGACTTGTTTTAGGAGGAAAAAGAAGCATTTTATTACTTGGTTGAAGTAGACATAAACCTTATTGTTTTGGATGGTTAAGACATTTTCAGCCCTCCTTGAAAATTTACAAGTATTCCAAAGAGGTTCAGAGCTTTTCATCAAAAACAAATCATCAGCATTGTGACATTTAGTGGTTTATTACATTATCATTAAATTATTATCTTGTTGGAAAAAAATTGTTGCTGGACAAATCTCAAGCCAAGGGGTCCAGTGCTATCCTAGTATATATAAACCTTTTCTTGAGAAAATGAAAGAACAAAAAATTTGGTTTAGATTCAACAAGCTAGCTAAAATTGTGAATCTATTTTGAGAGGACATATTTGAAGTATAGCCCCATTTGTATCAGTCTGTTGACAAAATGTTATTATTAATAAAATATCTTTTAATTTGACTAAGAAAAAAAATTTTGAAGTAAAATTTATATTTGATACATTATCGATATATAAATTTTATACATTATTATTATCTGATTCACTGACAGTGTATAGAATTTGACAGTATATTAAATATAAACTCTTTAAAGTATAGTTATAAATAAAAGTGGGCTTCCATTTTGAGAATTTATGGAAGAATGTAACTCTTAGCTACTTGTTTTTTTACACAAATGAGATGAGACTACTAATAGGGAATTGAAGACTCTAGAGTTCGAATTTTCTACCATAAAAAATGGGTTATTTACATTTTGCAACATCACATTACTTTCTGTAAAAATTAAACGAGACAAGTATAAGATTATTTGATTTTAGTATTATCATATATTTTTCAAGAATTTATAGTAATTTTGTATATATAAATATACAGGTGGTCAAAAATAGCAAAGCATCTGCCTGGAAGGACAGATAATGAAATAAAAAACTATTGGAGGACTAAAATCCAGAAACAAATTAACTAGCAAATACAAATGTGTTTTTCTCAGAGTAATTTTGAATTACTTGCTCATCAAGCAAGCACAAGCTAATTGCCTTGCAATAGTACTACAAATTTAATGGAAACATGCTTACCAATGTCATCATTCACCCATTGCAACAATATTGAAGCATTTCCAGGACAACAACACAGTTGATCAATCAAATAATGAATGCTATTGGTGCATGGAGGATATCTGGTCCATGCAGTTGCTTAATGGTGAGTAAACATGAAGATTAAATACATTTCTATTGCTGCGCTCCGATTTAATTCTCCTTAATTTGGATTAATATTGGGTTTCTCTTTAGATGAGGTTAAGAAATTGAGCTTGTTATTTGGTATTTTCCATATGTTACTTTGGATTAAGAATGGTTTGTAGTAGGATCTTATAGTACTATACATTCAATCATGATTGTATTATAATTATTTTCGCTTTTCCTCTCTGAGTAAATCCTTATTGAAACTACCTCAAATTGTGGCTTCAAGAAACAAATAGCCTAAGAAAATATAGATATTAATATATGCAAGGAATTTACGGCAAATGCGCAATGATTCACCACTATCTTTCCATGCAAAATAATGGAAATATATATATATATATATATAAATGTATGGGAAAGATTTAGATGAAATATTTTAGGAGAAATTTGTAAAATTCTCTCTTTGAAATGATTAAATAAAAATTAAAATTAAAAATCAAAATCAATAAATTAAAAGATCTTGTTACATAAAATAAATATACAAAATTTACAAAAATTTCAATAAATTTTGATATATATTTTTAAATAAATTTTTTAGTAAAATATTGATAAATTTTTATCTTTAAATTAATATCGATCAAATTTAAATTTAAACAACATTTTTAAAGTTTTTTTCAAATTTCTCTCTTTGAAATGATTAAATAAAAATAAAAATTAAAAATCAAAATCAATAAATTAAAAGATCTTGTTACATAAAGTAAATATACAAAATTTAAAAAAATTTCAATAAATTTTGATATATATTTTTAAATAAATTTTTTAGTAAAAATATTAATAAATTTTTTTTCTTTAAGTTAGTATCGATCAAATTTAAATTTTAAACAATATTTTTAAAAATTCTTTTTATATATTATTAATTTTTACACTGCACTCTATTAATCTAAATTTTTTATTAAATCATTTTTAAGAAGTATTTTCACAAATTTCACCAAAAAAACTTTGTTTAAGTTTTGTCAATATAAGTATATACATGATATTGACAATAAAGAGAGAGAGACATACCAATGAGTTACATGACTAAAGCCAAAGAAAATCGATGCGTCCTTTCGAATTCGAACGTTATATATACTCATGGAAGGATAGACACGCAAACTTGAAGGCCGAACTTCGCTTTGAAAGTTAGTATGAAACCATAGCCGACACCACCCATTGAAGTCAGTACTTGTAATAGTAACTAAGTAACAGTCTTTAGCACGCGTGGGTAGCTTTTTTTAAACCTCACCCACCGTAGCACCTATTGCGGTGATTAAAGCCGTTAGAGGTCTGACGAATTTGGCTTTGAAAGAAGCGGAATGGTCGATTGAAGGGTTGCCCAAGAAGGTCTAATTTTGAGTCTGGTTCTTGTAGTTTCTTGCTGAATGCTATAGTTGTTTTGCATGAAACAGAAGACCAAACATTGATTTGGTTTTGTCTTTGACAAAGATTGAGTTATTGTTCTTAAACATTGCAGTTTGAGATGACAAGAACAATAGTTTCAGTTTCGGGTCTTGATTCATGCATCTTTATTCTTGAACACACGTAGGAGTTTGTCTCAAACCCACTTGGATCCCCTCAGTCACCTTGACCCAAGTGTAGTGTCTGCTTCATTGTATAATTTTTCTGAATTTGAGTCTGTTACAGACTTTGGTTTAAAGCATTCCAGTCAAAGATGCACCAGAGGCCTGATCCTCGTAGGCCATACAACTTCAGTTTGCTCTACCCAAAGAATGTCTATACTATAAAGAAAAATGTTAATGTTAACTGAGTTTGCCACCCGACTCAGTTAAAGCCTTTTTGTGGAGAATTTTGAACTTTCTGAATGCTGTACGGACTTGTGTTGATGAAATTGGCAGACTTGTAGAGTTGAAAATGAATTGGTCTTTGTTCCTAAAGAGAATTATACTGGACTTGACAGGCCCCTAGCAGCGAATGCTGGGATAAAGAAAGGAATTCTTGAGCCTGAAGGTGGAATTAGACAGCTTTCAGTTGGTGTCTTTAAGCCAGAAGAAGAAATTCTTGGTAAACTAAAACAAATTGCACAGGTTGTTCCTCTGAGTAATTTGCTTGAATGTACAGTGTTG